AGTTTGTTCTCTGTTAACTTTTTTTTTTTCAATAAGGCTTATAGAACCCACATAGGAGCAATAAAGTTGGCTGTGCGGGTGGCTTAACTCTAAGATGGGACCACACACTCACCCAGGTGTGATATGTTTACCAGGAGTACTTTCTGGCCCCAGGGCTGCCTTAGTGAATCTCATGTCTCAAAAAGAGATTCTCATAGTATATGCTTTGGGGCAAAGGCAAAGTCACCTCTTCTCTTTACTTCTTCCTTTGCTGTCCTGGGAGTTTACTAGGTTCAGCATCTCTCTCTGAGTGCTATGCTCAGTCTCTTATGTGAACTGTATCAGTCAGTCTTAGGAATTAGCAGTTACTACTCCCCACACCATGCTACCCATGAGGAAAAAGGCTCCAAGAGGTTTAAAAAAGTTCTTCAACTAATAAGGAGAAAAGTGTTTGAACCCAGACAGTCTAGCCCCAGAACCCCTGCCCTTCCAAGAGGAAACTTTCAATGATACTAAGTTCCTGTGACAAGATAATTAGAACAAAATATTGTACAAATAAGATACTGGTCAACTTTCATCTCTTATTAGTTATAATTACATGCTGAGAAAGATGAGAACTGATCTGGCACTCATGGCTCTTATTAAAAGTGAGCAATGACACATGACATCAACCTCAGAAGAGGTCACTATGTGACTGATGAATTATGACAAAAGAAAGACCACTCTATACCATGTCTGAATGTGGAAAAGCATACGAACCTTCTGCAAACCACAATGGTGACCAAATAGCCCCAACTGCTGGCTACTGGGAGTGACTACTGCTGCTTTATCAATGACAGCAGAAGTCTCACTTCAGTATTCCCCCCTTTTAAATAAAGATTGATTTTAAGATACATAGCCATATAATGATCCCTATTTGCAGATAACATCCAACCAAGGGCAAAGCTCTGCTTCCTTAAACCCTCCCCCAAACCACCTGACCCAGATCCATAGCTTTAAATCCTCTCTGACCTCTTCCTAAGGTGCTCCATGTTTCCCCAAAGTGTGGCCCAGGAATTTGGAATTTATTTTAAGAGGCAACAGGAATAGTAAATAATCAAGTATTTTGGAACAAGGGAATGACATGACCAAACTGTGTTTTAGAGTATTAGACCTGAATAAAAACATGAGGTGATGAAGAGAAGAGACTGATGACAAAGATAGCAACCATTGCAGTAGTCTAGGGGTTTGACCAGGAAACCCAGAGACACAGACCATAATTCCAAGTGGCATGTGACAAATGCCAACACAAGGGTGGTGCCAGACGGTATGAAATGAGTTAACATTAACATTAGAATATCTGCAAGAAGAATTGACAGTGGGTGGAAATTTTGATATGATCTTAACAGGCAACCTTATTTAACATTCAATAGTTAGGGATTTCCTTGGACCAAATTTCTCATAAGCTGTTCAGCCTCATTCTGAACAAAATAGATATGGGATTTTTATATCTATAAGTTTGCTTCATTAGCATAAGCTACAAAGTTATGAATAGGATGACTTTCTGTTCACCTTGCTTAAATTATGAAAGTCAAGGTTGGATTTAAGCTTACCATATGGATAAGGGAGCGATTTAGCTCTTGAGTGTCTTCCAGAAGTTCCCACGAAGGGCATTAGAAGTTTTGTGAGCATATTAGAAAGCAAACTTGGGGCCAAAGTGTGCATATTCAGCAGACCTGTCTGGATTCTCCGCTCTAAGAAACTAAAATAGATGAAGATGTGCCTCTGAGGAACTAAGCACACAATTATTCAAGTGAAAGTAAAAGAGATAGATGGTTCTGATGGCAGAAAACGTTCCAACATTACATTCCATGGGCTGAGCTGGAGGGGGCAGGGGGTTGGAAGTTGAGAAATATGAAGTTCCTGTTTAGGAATGGGCTTGATTCCAAGAGTTTTCCCAACTAAGGTTTTAAGAACTGAGTCCCTTATCTCCCAGAAACAACGCTGGAAACTGTACTCGGGAGAAGAGTATACCTAAGAGAAGTTATGAAAGCCCATCCATCCTCCAGGAAGATTAATAGTGATACTAACCCAGGGTTGAGACTGGGCAGAGGACCACATTTCTATGTAATGAATGAAGAGAAAATAGTATTTCCTCAGCCTCTCTTTTTGCTTAATGTACACAAAATTTATATTTTGGTAGGGAAAAAACAGAAGTCAACTTTGCCAATCTTTCTCTCTGAGTTGACCTACCCTCTCCAGTAGTTCTCACCACAGGTACCCCTGTTGACAGTGCTCTTCACCCACAACTTATGCTTGGTTATTGACCTTCAAAATATAACACAATAGATAATATAAAATTATCTATTTTCCCCAATTCCCCAAATCTCAGGACCTGATTTGACTGCATCACTTACTATCTCTGACTTTGGAAATATCTGATTACCCAAACCTCCCCCTGTAACATAGGGATGATACATGTCTAATGGGGTTGATCTGAAAATTAAATGAAAAAAAAAGTCTACATGATTACTGCTGAGCTTGACATTCTGCATGTTCTCAGTTATATAGCAGCTTTTTTATTATTTGGATTGAAAAGAGCCAAATACTTTGTACTTTTAACTTAGATAAATGTAGAATCTATTATGTTAAATGGTTATTAGATATGAACTACAATTTTAAATGCTTAAAACAGTCAAACCTGATTCCTCCAGAAATTTCTTAAAAGAATACCATTTTCCCTAATACTTGTATGTAAATTGCATCTATACAATCTTACATCCTACCGTAGCCCCATCACTCAAAATCCAAACACATCTAACATGAATCCAAAAGCACACAATCAGAAAGATGACCACACCCCTACAAGCAAATTGCCATTTAAAAATTTAAATGCTGGGATTTATTTTACCCAATATTTTAAATAACCTGGGTCACATCTTCTCTTTGATTTAAAAAGAGAAGAAGTTTATCAACTGTTACCTCAGATTTTTTGCATCTACCAATAATATTGACTAATAGGGAACACCATCCTGAAAAAACATCACATTTGAATTTTTCTAAGTGGTAAATAGGTACAGAGATGAAAAATCATGGTGAAAACTGTACCAAGGTTAAATGCCCCTTCCTACCCTCTGCTTTCAGGCTCAAGAATCCTAGAACTAATTCTGAATTGTGATATCGAATCTGTCTCCAGTCGGAATGGCAGACTTAATGCATCATTAATCGGGTCCGCTCTCAGCCGCCAATTGAAATAGTCACAGTCATTCGATTTTTAAGGAAAAGACAGTGCTGCAGAAGTACATTCCAGAGGTCTTTTCATAAAAACTATCCTGTGTGCTCCATCTGCATGTGCAATCTGCTTGTGTATTTTCAGCCAGCTTGCATGGGCAGATTAATGTGTACAATTAGAAAGCAACCTCACAGGCATTCAATAAACTGCCTTCATTATTACACTCAGGAGAGTCCCTTTGGATGTCAATAAAAGCCTAGTTTTCTGCCTGTTAGCTAAATAATTGACAACACTAAAAATAATCAGAAGCAAATGAACGGAGTCAGGAACAAGGTGTGAAGAAAGAGCACATTAAGATTCTCCTGGTGGTGCCCCAGGTGGCCATCATGTGCTTTTTCTCCAGCAACTTGGATTTACAGTCTACTCAAGTCCATGGTTGCCTTCTCTACAGGAAAAACACACTGTTCCTGGTCTGCTGTTTGAACCACACATCACAGCATGCTGAAACTAGCAGGGTATTGACTCGTTTGAAAGAATTTCTTATTTGGGTTTCTATTTTGTGTTCTTTCATTTGACAGCTTCAGGAGAATCTAACTTGGGGGTGGAGGGCAGATAGTCTAGTTGGTCTGGTGAAATCTTTGTGCTGTTAAAATTCTAACAGCTTTCCTAGATTTTTTTTTTCCCCACCATGAACTGGTTCTAAGAAATTGTGATAAAGACTTGTTACAGGGAGGCTCCACCTATTCTAAGAAGTCCCTTTCATATTGGTAGCTATGTAATGGTCATTCATTTCATGAGCTATTGGCCTTTTAATTTCAAAAGTAATTCAAAACACAATGCTCTTAAAAGAAAAAAAAACTCACACATATATTCCTCTTCTTGTGTTTCTCAATAGCCTTTAAAAATCAATTTGAGATACTTCTCATTTTCAGCCAGCTTCTCTTCTTCCTGGTTAACTGGGGCTTTCACGATAAGCAGAAGAAAGAGCAAGAGTGAAATGTGTGTGTAATTGAATTCAACTCCACTGATAGTGTGGGAGGTGGCTGAGGGCAAAACTTTTTTTCTTCTTTACAGAAAAAGGGCGACTGATCTTTAGTGTTTAGTGAAACACAAACTCAAAAAGCTAGAAGATCATGAAAGAAAGGAGGCTGGACAGCACAACCCCCAATATTTGAAAATTCCAAGAATCTTTCATCCTTCACCTTGCCCTGATTCAAATTCTCCAGACAGAGGATTCATTCAACGTCCCAGTCCTCTACTTAAGATCCCTCACTGGTAAGCAGGTCATCCCTTTTCCAGTGAAAACTAGTTTGGTATAATAAAAAATGTATTTTGATATATGACCACCAATTGGGAGTTTTGACAATAATTGCTAAATGACTGCAGTTTCTGAGTAGACAACATGCAATAGTATAATAAGCCTCAGTCCACTGGATAAATCCCTAGTTAGTTTAGATTGTACTTCAGCATTTCATTTCAAACAGTTCCGTCCCTGTATCAATACATTGGAAGTCAATATAATTAGAAGCATGCTGGATCACCAAAGAAACAGACCCTCCAAGACACTTTTAGTGGTGAATTTTTCAAATTTGGTAGTATTAATGCTAAGTGACTCCTAGAACACACTCTGATGAATATAGATGTCTCCAATCTTAGATCATCACATGATGTCAGAGTTCAATTACATAATATTAGCAGCCATTAATCCAATGACAAGGGGTTTGCAAAGTTACCAACACCTAGAACTTAAAAGCTAAATGAATGAATGATATGCCTATAAATGTACAAAGCTCTGAAAACATAAACTTACTATTGGTGATGTTCTCTGAATGCTTCTCTTCTGAGTTTTTCTTGAACTTGCTTTTTCTCCTCTAGCTTATTGCTCTGAAATTGCAAAGATCACAATGTAATCTATTAAGGAAGATGTAGGTAGAATATAATGTTGAAATTATGCAAGGTCCAAAATCCTTAGGTCCCAGTGACCCAACAGTCCAATGTGGTCTAATTTGGTTCCCTTCCAGAAGCTCCAAAATTATCCGCTCCCAGAACCCACAGCCATTTCACAGAAAGCCAGGAGCCCTAAGTTCTTCCACAGCTCCCCTCTCCCAACTGTATGATCACAGAATCATCATTGCACATTTTTATTTTAGTTCAAATGATAGCAACATTTTTAAGCAGTGTTTTCAAAATATTCTAATGAAAACATAGAATTTCCATACCAACTATGTTTACTTAAGATTATAATAAATGGTTAAATAGTTCATTCAAAATTTATGCGTACACCCACTTTCTACTAACGCATTCAGGAAAAGATTTTCAATAAGCCAACTCAACTCCCTTCTGACTTAGAATCAAACACTTAAAGCTGTTGAGAGACTGAACAGAACATGTCCTTAAAAAGCCATCCACTTGCATAAAAAGAGTTCTTTTATTTTTTTAATTAGCTGTTTAGAGAGCCTAGAGAGAAAAGAACTTCATATTTGATATTACTGCTACCATGGCTCTGGCACATTTTAATCCAATTTAAATAACCCAGAACATTTGCTTTTTGTTCACCATGACACAGCTGTCATTTTTTTTACCTTGCCTAAGAAAAATAAGTAAAATTCTTAGACAACAAATTTAATAGGGAGTTGAAACAAGTTTACAACACCGGAGAAATGTGAAATTTTACATGAATCCAAGAGAGCAAGCAGCTGGGTTTAATTTTTTAAAAAATGGATTTGCCCAGAGGAAGATCCTTAAAAAGACAAGAATGGAAATCATCACTCTTAAACTCTAAGTTTGGCTCCATCTTTCAAAGAGAGGGAAAACTGTTCATATTGTTCATTTCCATGAAGGTCTTCATTCATACAGAACTTTGCCATTTTGACAGGCAAAATGAGAACCGCTTTAGTTTTAGGAAATAACTGTAGGAAATTTACTAGAGTTAAAGGGAAGCAATTATAATGGAAGCAATTGGATTGTTAATGAAACAATTCTAGGAAAATAACTAATGGAAAATTATAAAACCAAGTAAACATGATTTCAGTCTGGATAAAGTCCTCGATCATGAGAACAAAGGTGGTCACTTAATGACAAGATCCCTGCATCCCCTACAGGAAAATAATTGAAAATGTGAAGGACAGCAAGCAAGCACTAGGTGCTGATGAAACCAATGTTAGGTATACTCCTTTGACAACAATGAGAAAGTCACACAAGTGTCTAGAGACAAAGGCTGGGTTCCTTCAGCAAGGTCAGGAATTGAGAAAAGTGTTTTTATTCTCTTCGCCAGTAGATTCCAACTCACAAAACTGTTGGATGGTAGCTAAATTTTATCCAAGGAAAGTCTGTCTATCCCTCATCAGAAGAGAAAGATTTTGCAAAACCCTGGAGTATTTGAGAATATGTATTCAGTACCTACCGACCTAAGCACTGATTTTACTATACTAATCCAAATACTTAGATTTAGTCAGATTGTTTATTGCTTTCCATTTAAGTCCTCATCCAAACATACTTATGCACATATACAAATGCAAAATAACCCATTTGAGAGCATGAGATCCAAATGAAGAAAAGATGGAATCATGTTTTCTCCAGTTCACCATCACTGAGTGAACTTAAGCAAATCATTTAATGTCACTGAATCTCATTTATTCAACAAACATTTATTTAATGCCTATTATATGCTTTGTGCTGTTAGATGCTGGTAATGCAGCTATGAAAAAGCTGTGACTACCCTGGAAATTTCAAAATCTAGCTCAGGATATGTACAAGAAAGCAACGAAGGAAGTATGTTAAGTATATTAGGGAAAGCAGTTTGCAAGTGAAGTAATATGAACACACAGAAAAAATACAAAAGCAGATGGTCAGGAAATACTCACTGTTTCCATTTTCACTCTGAGCCTACTAAGTGGCAGGTTTTATCCCAGACACAGGAGCCAAGAACAACATTCATAATGTGGTTTCTAAGCTCAGGTTCATGACTGAACTTCACCTAGGAGAATGTCTTTTTTATGGAGACTGTACTTAGAACTTTCTTTAGATTTTCTAAGATGCTGATGGCCAAATCAAAGGACAAAACCCTTAGGTATAAGGAGAAATAAAAATCATAGGTAGAGACCAATCTTAAAACAAGCAACAGTTTTCCAAGGGTGAGAAGAAGATGGTGCAAACCTTCACTTCATTGCACAACTGTTGTCCACTACTCAAGAGGGTTCCAGCAGAAGGGCCAGAAAGCCAAAAAGAAAGCTAGCATTTAGCTCATCAGGACTTGCTCCCCAGCAAGGGCCTGCTTCAACACTAAGGATGTGTCTTTCTTTGTCTCATAAAGTTGCCATTTATCACCAGTCTGAGCACCCACAAAACGGACTACCTGGATTGAAGAACCAGGTTATTGTTTTTGTTTTGTTTTTTTGTTTGTTTGTTTTTGCACAAAGGCAATGATGGGCCAATAATGTCCCTGGATAAGAAAAGTACAATCCCAGAATTTACAGTGTCTTCAAGACATCAGAGAATATGCCAGTTCAGGGAATTCCAAGAAATTCAAGGATAAATTGAAAGGTGTTTGTGAAGAGACGGGTGGAAGATATGGCTGGGAAAGTAAGAAGGGGCAAATGATGAAGGAATTTATATGTTCAGCAAAGGAGTCTGGACTTCACCAAAGGCAGTGGTAAGCCATTAAATTATTGTAAGCAGCACAGTAAGCCACTCACTCAGGTAGCAACCCGGAAGATAAGCTGCAGAAAGGACTACCAATGTGAGAGGACACAAGTGGTTCTCACCACAATCCAAGTCAGAAATTATGAGAGACCCCAATTAGGGCAGCAGGGATGGAAAGGGGAAAAAAAGTCGAAAAAAATGGAAGGGACAGAAGTAACAGGTACAGTTGTAGGTGGGATGAGTAAGAAAAGGGGAAGACAATCACGTAGAGAGTCAACACGAAGGCATGAGTTCAATTTGAATCCAAAGGCTCTGAGGCACAGGTGTGAACATCTAGGCAGAAATCCCAAATATGTACTATGATACATGGTTCTGGGATTCAGATATATGTTCTGGCCTGAAGACATGAACCTCAGAAACCATCAGCATGAGCAATGGCTAAAGCCTTAAATGTGGGAGCTTTCACCTAAGGATAAGAGGTGTAGGCACAGAGATATCAGAGACCAATGGAGATATCAGAGACCAACAGTGGACCTCTTGAAATATCCATAGAGGGAAAACAAGTGGATAAAAAAATCCAGAGAAAATAGAGAGGGGTAGATTAAAGGACAGAATATTTAATAATTAATAGCTACAAACTGTTAAGTATCTCCACTGGATTTTTCAATTAAGAACATCACGGTGATTTTGGCTAGATCTATATTAGATATAGAAGCCAAATTCAGCCCACTAAAGAACAAATAAAGAAGTCAGAAAAGTTGAGTTCATAAGCCAGCTAAGGACAGCATCAACCTAGGAAATATGTTCCTAAAACAGAATCCTTGGTTCCAATGACTGAAAAAGAGTGAGTCTACAAACTGACATTTGGAAACAAAATTTGGTGGTAGAGAAGTCTTTTCAGACATTGTGACCCATGGTGTTTGGGACATAGAAATTGAAAGTGGATTAGAATAGAGAGATGCTATTTGTTAAGGTTCAAGAGACTCAAGTATGAATAAATACTGAGAGAGGAAAAACAAACAAGAAAAAGGGCTAAATTAAGAGATGCAAGGTACCTGGGGAGATGAGAGGAAAGAGGAGATGGTGAACAAAAGGTGGAAGAATCCATCTTTTCCTTCCTTTAAGAAGGAAAAACACCTTCTTAAAATGGGAATGGGGATAGAAGCAGCAAAGAATAAGGGAACAAGCCATGTACGGTGGCACACGTCTGTAATCCCAGAGCCTCGAGAGGCTGAGGCAGGAGGATCGAGAGTTCAAAGCCAGCCTCAGCAAAAGTAAGAAGCTAAGCAACTCAGTGAGACCCTGTCTCTAACTAAAATACAAAATAGGGCTGGGGATGTGGCTCAGTGCCCCTGAGTTCAATCTCTGGTACCAAAACAAAACAAATGAACAAAAAGGAGTAAGGAAACAGAAAGAAAAGAAAAGACATTAAAGGCCTAATGGGCCTTTCTTTCCTATGAAGTGGTGAATGAAGCCATGTGCTGAAAATAAAGGAGAGAAGACGAAGAAGGTAAAGTGAGCAAAGATCTTGGTAACTAAGGCTGAGCCTAGAATACAAAGGAAAAATGCTAGACTTTGGACATTGTTAAACACCTAGCTGAGACGGAAGCCCAGAAATCCGGAGTGGCCAAAAAAGGCTGTGTGGATTTTTTTCCAGCAACCCCATTCATGTGGATTTAACAGAAATGAAGAAATTGAGCCAGGCTTGGTGACACACCCCTAAAATGCAGTTAATGGAGGGCTAGGGCAGGAGGATCATAAATTTGAGGTTACCCTTGGCAACTTAGACCCAATCTCAAAGTAAAATAAAATTTTTGAAGGGCTGTGGATTTAACTTACAGGAAGAGTGCTTACCTACCATGCATGAGGCCCTGGGTCCAATCCCCAGTACTGTAAACAAATATATAACTGAACCCATCCAATTAAAGTATTTAATAAGAATTATCTTCTTTACTCCTTCCTTCCAAGAGGTCAATATACTAGATTGAAATGAGATAGTGTTAAAGCACTTCCTCACTTTTATAATTAGGTTAGAACACATTATTAAGTGCTCACTAAGTGCTCGGCATTGTACTAAGAGCTTTGTATATTTTGCAACCTTTAATTCTATTGCTATATTCATTTTAAAAAAGAGGAAAGTAAAGAACAGAGAAGTTAGCAGCCTATACTCTTGGTACCGCATCTGCATTTGAGAGTTCCCGTTCCATCCTCATGGATTTAATGAAATCTTACTGCATTTCAAC